TTTAATCGTATATTTTATTAGCACCATATGGCATCTTTGCTCGTTCTTGTGTTGCCATGGCTAAGGATGCACGTACAAGCTTCAAAATTATTGATGATGATGGTTGTCCAACTGATCCTACAATCTTCCCTGGCTTCACTGCTGATGGTAATGCTCTACAATCGACATATGAAGCTTTCCGTTTCACTGAAAGTTACGGTGTTATCTTCCAATGTAATGTTAAATACTGTTTGGGACCATGTGAACCAGCGGTATGTGAATGGAATATGGAATCATTTGAATCTTTGGGCAGAAGACGTCGTCGTTCAATTGAGGGGTAAGTACAGTCAGTTATGATTTATTATATTTATTTTAAATATTTATTTTAAACAAAATTATTAATACATAATTAACTCATTAAATCAGTAATGAAACTAAAGAAGCTGATGAGGATATGAACATTTCACAAGAAATACTTGTGCTGGACTTTGGTGATGAGAAACGTGAGTTCTTTAAGGCTGATCCAAGCACAGATTTTGCTAAAGGTTCGTATATGAAATTAATTAAGAAATAAAAATTTTAAATACAACTTTATACGTTCTTATTTCCCCTGCAGATAAGACTGTCACTATCATTGAGCCTTGCCCCACCAAAACATCAGTATTGGCACTCGCTGTTACCTGTGCGCTCATGATCTTATTGTATATCTCAACGTTGTTCTGCTACTACATGAAGAAATGGATGCAACCACACAAAATTGTAGCATAAACTGAGGCGCAGAGAAACTACCGAGAAAAATTATTAGACACTTACGAGTACTTCAAATTTTCCTACTAAAGAACTAACAAAAATGCTTAATATTTCGAAATAATTTGCGTAGCAAATGAAGTTCGATAAGAAAACGCAATAATTAATATTTTAAGGATTAATTAAAGTTAAAAATTAAATAGTTGCTAAGTTTAAAGAATATAATATCTAGTTTAGGGCTGTTTTTAAAATGTTAACTGAAATGTTGCGGCAAAAGTGCGCGAAAAACAATTTTCGTGCAATTTTAGAGTCAACAAAGTAAATATACATTTTAAAGACAATAAAATTAATAAATAATTTATTTAAATCGAAAGCAATTAAAGAAATATTAGTTAATAATAGAAAAAGCTAGAAAAGAGCTTTGAATATATATTATAATTAATTGAAAATCGCACAAATTTAAATAAAGACCCTGCTGAAACGCACACACCTAATACGAAAATAAATTTCAGAAGTGAAGCAACTATCTCATTTCTGAAACTGTCTATTATATATTCGATCAATTTTCTCATCAGTACTTACCACTTAACTAAACTTAATTTAGCTATAGGCCACTTTCTATGAAGTTCTAAAATTCATAATATATAAAAAAATAACTGAAAATTCTACATAACAGAATTTTTTTGTTAATAATTTTTTAACTTCAATAGAGACTGCGTCCCACCACGAAAATCTCATCATTTCAGCTCAAAATATTCGCTATTTATTTATTTAATATTTATTTAAAATTATTCATAAATTAATTATGTTTTATACGATTTTGTGCTTAAATTATTTATATGCATTTATTTAGTAATAATTAAAACAAAAAGTAATCGAATTAAGTTGGAAAAGAGCATTTAGTAGAATTTTGCAACGCATTTTTTTATTTATATAAACTTTAAGTACGCATAAATACTTTGATTAGATTTTGTATATAAGTTCTAAAATATGAATTTTTACAAAAATTGAAAATACAAATAAAAATTAACTGATTAATTTAAAATTAAAAATTTTTATATTAAAAAAAAACAAACAAATTATATATATTGTAATAAGATTAATGCATAAAAAATAAAGAATGAACTTTTGAGAAAAATTTAACTTTTGCTTTTTATTTGGCGTTTGGCATCTGTTTGCAACCTGGCAACTTCTTACTACTTAAAAGAAATCCAATATTCTCATTGAGATGCCCCGTAGAGATAGTCTCATGGTAGGTTTACTTACAGGTCACTGCGAATTAGGGAACTATACTAGAAGATTAAATATCCGTTTCAATCATACCTCTCGCAGCTGTGGAGATGATGATGAGAGTCATCATCTACTGAACACTTTAGAAGCCACCTTTCTTGAAGATCTTGATAAATTACAAGACCTCCCACTTAACAGCATTCTGAGCTTAGTCGAAGGTTCTAGGTGGTTTTAAACCCTGAGTTTTCTTCTACATACGGTAACACAATGGGCCAATAGGCATTAGTGGATCCCCTAGGAATCGCCGGTATAACCTAATCTAATCTTTCAATGCGTTACTTACCCCTATTCTAATGGATTGGGAATGGGAGTTTTTTCCCTATATTAGTAAGTAAGTTATAAGTAAGTTATGTTAGAGATTAGTTAAAAAGAGTTAAATTTAATATGTAAGTAATCAATAATGATCAGTTTTTCGAATATATATAAATATATATATTTTTTTGTTATCCTCAAGTGTTTTAATTTAAAATAATGAAAACAATAGAAGATGTGGAGAAATTAAAGTTACGGAAAATTGAAAACTAAATATTTAACACCGTTTAAAAAGTGTAATTTTTTATTTTATTTAAAAAAAACATTTTCATAAAGTTACGGGTTAAATAAACGACCTAAGCCTGGTAAAAAATATAAACACTAAATAAATATTGATCGTAATAACAATTTATTGAAAATTAAAAACAAAATTGAAATAACGTCGACATTTGGAAATGGAGAAACTCAAACTTCAATGAAAACATTAATAATTCCAATATTGTTACATTCATATATAAGATATATTATTTTTTATTATTTTTAAGAAAAAAAAACGAGTTATGTAAGTATTTAAAAAATAAAAAAATAATTAAAATAAAAAATGTTTTTAATTATTTACTCAAATGTATTCATTATTAAATGCAATTGAATTTATAAAATACAAATTTTTTTTATTTAAAGCATTAACTGATGCTCAATTTCTCTTCATTTGTTTATTTTGCTTCTTATATTCCTACTTTTCGCTATCAAAAAATGCAAATGCTGCCAAAGTTCAAAAAAAAAAAATTTCAATTCAATTCTAGGGAGCAATACGTTTTGGGAGAAACTTATTACCTGGAAATATATGAAATAGGGGTGAATGCAAAAATCATATACTAAGTTTTTTATTTCTGGAGAATTCATACTCAAAATGTATTTTGCTATCTTCTTAAATTCAGAGTATTTCTTTGACTTCAATTTCCGCAATAAATTGAACCTTATTTCTTCATTCAATATAAGGCACTCAGAAAATCTGTAGATTCTTAAATTATTTTTATTTAATTTTATAAAACACTTGAATCGATTTGGATTGAAAATCTTCATAAATTCTTTTTAAATAACTTAAAAAAAATTATCCCTTCCAGCAAAACCATTTCTTCTAGATAGAATGAAGACGTGTGTTGATCCAACCATTAACACTTAAAGTCAAAAATAACTATTGCCCATTGTGTTCTCTATAAAAAGGACACCAGGAGATGAATATTGCTTCCAATATATTTTCTCATACTCAGAGATAACTATTACCTATATAGTTATTTTACCCATATTATATCACCCATATTTTTTTTCTTGTCCATACATGGTACACAACCATTGTTTCTAAAGAGTTTGGTTTTTTTAATAAAATCAAGGCGATTTGATAAGTTTATTTTCAGTATTTTTACCAGGCCACATTCAACCTCCTGTTGTAGTCCCTTGTAGGACTTCTAGAGGTCAAAGCCGCCTTGCCTTTAGCCCTGCATAGAAAGTGATTGATACGCTCCTCTTTTCTTCGTCATAGTAACTAATACACTAGTCACTTGTCAAAATGCACCAACTGTGTAATAGCACAGTGCCAATAACCACCATACGAACTGTGGTTTACACAAACTCAAAAGATCTTTCATTCTACTCGTATCCAAACGTGATCATACTGTTCTAACGATCTTACAGTACACGCGGTCCATAAATTAACAATTTGTTAGAATAGTTTTAACTATTTACATTATTTTCTTGTATTTACTGCTCTATAGGTAGTAATTCAATTATTTTCATATCGTTTTGGTTTTCATTCGCTAGATTTTTGGATTTCTTCGGAAATAGGGTAAAATTTATGCGTGTACTTACATGTTTACTTGTCAACTACTGCTTCAAACACCTTTTTCGCTGCAGTATCTCTATCCATTTTCACGACATGACCAAGCCAATGAAGCCGGTGGATGATAATTTGCTGTATTATATCAATGTCATGATAAAACTCGTACTGGTCGTGGTTCATTTGTATGCGCTAGTCGTTGCCAACTCATAGAGGACCAAAGATGTCACAAAGAACTTTTTTCTCTAACACTCCCAGTACTGATTCCTCATTCTGTGATAACGTCGATGCTTCTGCGCTATACAGAAGTACAGAAATGATGAGCGACATATAGAGCTCTACATCTCAATTGCCTACTGATCCCATGGTAGCACCTTCTAGCAATGGTGATTCTTTATCTGATCTTCAGGCGGATATTGTTGATGTTTAACAGATTCGAAAGTATAGTCGCCAGCCACTAACTCGGCGTCCCTGTGGCTCATATTTCTACCAGTAACCGACATATACTTCGTTTTCCTCTCATTTACCGCTAAGCCCATTATTGCAGATTCCTTTTCGATTGCAGCAAAGACGTTTGCTACGCCTAATAATGTCAATATCGTCGGCGTAAGCAAGGAGCTGGACACATTTGTAAAATATTGTTCCATTACCATGAATACCTGACCTGCACATTATCACTTGCATTACGAAATTGAAAAGATCACATGATAAGGAATCACTTTGTCTAAAGCCTCACACGATATCAATAGGCTCGATCTTTTAAATTTTGTTGCCCAATCGAAGTAATTTAAAATTTTTGTAGGAGTGTTAGTAGACATTCATATTTTTATTTATCTGTCAAATTATATAAAACACTCCGTATTTACCAATCGAAAATAAAACGGCACTAAAACCCATTAAAAGAGCTAATCGATTGAAAAAATTTCTCCAGATTTAAATTTTCTCGAAAAAGCCATAAGATAATATTAACAAATAAATAAATTTAACAAATGTTTCCAAAGACTAATGTTGATGAGTATTTGGCAATACTCGAATGAGATTTTCAGTCCGTCATAAATTCCATTTATCACCTCTTGTCTCTTCCGTAAAGGTATACATTCCAAGGAGTCTATTCCGTTTGTGCATTAGTGCAGGGTATTCTAACAGCAAATGTGTGGTTGACTCCTCATTTTCTTCGCAGAATCTACAGTTTACATCCGTATATATATCGAAATTGCAAGGTGATATTTTAATTTACAGTGATCTGTTAGAATTCCTGTAATGATTTCGAGTTTTTCTTTTATAGGTTCACACACTCCTGATATCTATTATTGTTATAGGTACCAATTAGTGAATTGGTTAGTGTTAATCCTGGTATATTAGCTCAGTTGTATTGTCTGTTCTGGTTCCCCTTCATCTTTATGAGAAAAAATAGGGGACTATGTTCTAATTTACAGAGAGGTTCCGGCCTCATCATCGGTGTGATTGCTCCTTTCCTGGCTAGTTTGTCTGCGTATTCGTTTCCACGTTGGCCAGTATGATCCGGTACCCAGAGAATGGATACCTGATTTGATTCGCCTAGCATATTTAACTTATCAAGGATTCTTGCACCAGTATTGAAAGCATCTGATGCGAGTTTTGTACCTTGATCACTGGTTGGCTATCTATCAGTATTGCGATAGTTTTTCCCTAGTGATACCGTTCAATATTGATAACACGCACTTGAATATTGCGTAAATTTCCGCTTAAAAAATACAAGTAATTTGTCCTAGCGCTTCTTAATGCCTCTTGCCTGATCCGACTATACCTGGTCCGGCACATTCCTCCACCTGTAATAGGCTTACTATTGAAAAACTATTTTAATAGTAATTGTGTTTATTTTTATTGTTAGGGAATGTGACACTGCGACCGTCGGGTGTATTGTGCCTCTTCTGGGCTTAGAGTAGGTCTTTATGCCCTGTTGCGAAAATAAAAAGTAGTATAGAACCTACTTTACAGAGTTTTATTGTCTTTTCCGTAAGAATATAAATTCCTAGGAGCGTATTTCGTAGGTGCATTAGCGAACCTTTGTGTTTAAAAAATAAACATAATTTGGTAAAACAAAGAAAATAACTTTATATATAAACAATAATATTACCAATTAGCTGGTTGTATTTTTATTTTAGTAAAAACCATTTATGAAATATCTTACAAATTCTCTTTCTCTCTCTCTCTCTCTCTCTCTCTCTCTCTCTCTCTCTTTCTATCTCTCTTCTCACCTTATATTTAATTAAAAATTAATACTACATTAAATTAACTTCATTTGAATTTCTTATTTATTTGATATCAATATTTATTAAATACATAGAGATATAGTTTTTTTCTTTTTTGCTGATATACAAGTGTATCTTTCATTCACTTCTTGATGTGTATGTATGTATAAATATATACAAAAATTGTATAGATAAAATTTATTTTTTGTTTACACAACTGAAATGCAAATAAAAATTTGTTTAGATTAACATATTTTTTTTTTTCAAATTTCTACTAAATAATGTTATAAATAACATAATGTTTTGGATACTTTATAGTTATAGATTTAAAATGCTTAAAGATAATTGTATTTTAATGTTTACATTTAATAAACACTTTTGACAAGAACTTAGATAACACACTTAATATTGGTTTGGTTTACTTTTTTGTTTTTGTAATTTCGTTGAATATTATTTAAATAATTTATTGCCAAATTATAAATTTCTAATAAAAAAGTAAATTAGTATATAAAGTATATAGTTTTGTTCATAACATGTAATTAAAGTTTTGCATTTTTGTTTTAAAATTATTATATTTAACATTGCAAAAACAGTTACACAGTCTCTTTGGAAAAATAATTCATAAAATTGTGATAATGCATTATTTTATAAATTTTTGTAATGTTTTTCTTTTTCTTTAATTTTTATAATTAATATTTTAACTTAACGTAATTGACTTATAATTAACGATCGCCAGGAACGTTTGTAATATTTATTTATGCTCATATATATGCATTTATATTTGTATTATCAAAACAAATATTTGGGACGATTTATACAAAATATTTCTAATAAAACAAATAATTAACAAAATTTTATAAAATACACTAAACTTTTGTGTACAAATAATTTGTTGCTCATATTATTTAATTAATAATTATTAAGTCATATAATATATGTGTATTTTGTATTTTATTTTATTTTTTTTTTGTTTTTAAACAAAATCTATTCAGGCACTTTCGGTTAAAAAAATAAAATAAAAGAAAAGCTAATGAAAATTTATGAAAAGCAGTGCAATTTTCATGTTTTATTTCAGTCTAAAGATAAGTTTTAATAAAATTATTCAATATTATTATTAAATATTAAAAATATATTAACAAAAAAAAAAACGTGTGTAAAATAAACAAAAACAATTTTTAATGTTGCACAATACAAAATCATAATAAAATAAAACTGCAAAAATAAGGTAGAAAAGCATTAAAAAAAAAAATAAATTTAATTAAAGTAATTATTGTATATTAATTAATAATGTGTGTACAATAACGACGCTTTGTATTAACCTTCGTAGAGTCAGAGTTCATATACTAAACATACTTACTCACATATATATTGCCAAACATTACAGGCGCAAGTCATAGAACCCAAATAATCTTATTTTGTATATATATGGGTTATTTAATAGAGAGTTCTCTTTACACCGTTAGGAATATAAACAGGTAATTGTGATGAAGGGATCGAAAATTCATATATTATTAAAAAAAACCAGCAAATAATAGTTAAATAGATAGATTTATAAAAATATTAATATTAATAAAGTATTTATTAGAACTAATGGATAATTATGCAGACCAAACTCTTCTAATGGGTACCGCTCATTTTCGGTACACACTTTTTTTAATTCAATTCTTTTTTAATATTAATTAAATTTGGACTCTTAGTCGAAATCTCCTCCTGAACATAAACAAGCTAGCTGACTTATAATTATCCGCTCAGCTCACTATTTATTATTTTATTTCATTATTTATTTGTGGGTTAACATTAAAATTCATTTTAAAGTTAACTAAAAATAAGGAACTGTACTACTAGGTTCTTCGCCCTGGCACTATACATTATATTTTCTTAGCAGATAGGATACTGTAAGTGCAAATAGACTGCAGACAATGTTAAGACTTTCAAAATTATTTTGGATCAAATATTTTAGCCTATTTCCCGAAATATGTTGTGAAG